CATCAACTTTTGATTAGAAAATGGTAGATCGATAGCTTGATGTACCTCGCTGTTGTACAATGATCTGAAGCAGCTTTTGATTTCTTTAGCAATTGCCTGAAACAATATTGACCTTAACCGGACTGTGGCGTGCTTCATCGCATTGACGCTGCAGTGCCAAGCTTCATTAGCGAGTTTCAAGCCTTTTTTCGGTATGTGAAATCAGCGTCTTCCATGATTTTAGTCCAATTTTTTTTAAAATTCAAACTATTGCAGAAAAAATTATAGCTCCTTCGAGATCTTCTTTAATGTACATTATTTTGACTCGGCTCCCTGAAACCGATATGGTGTTAAGTTGTACATTCCTAATAGTGGAAAGAACTGAGCATCATTTGTGTCATAACGAACGCAGTGGGTTGAAATAGCTGGCTTCTAATTATACAATCATATCGTTTACCCTCAGAAAAGACACAGAATGAATTGGTTTAAACTTATTTAAAATTAAGGTCGCGGAAACAAAGTTTATTTTGCTGACAGCCATGATATCGCAAGACTTCGAAAATATCGTTTAAATCCATGAATACGCCCATACCAATTCATAAAATATCAGTTGATGAGAGGCACTGTTTACGTTGCCATGGTAACGGCGGAAGTCTGCTTCGGTTGCGCTTATGTGTTCGTCCATGTTTCAAACTGATTATTATGCATCGAGTTTTGCCGGACGCAGTAGACAGCAGTAATTTTATGTTGGCAGTAAAAAGTATTAATAAATTAATTTGTATCAGTTTGTCCAGAAAGAAAAATTCGCAGCCTATCAAAAAATGAAGATGACGATAAAAATGGCAGAAACGCGGAGCAAACCTGCTGTCAGTAAGAGTTTGCATGTGACTAAAACTGTGTAGCACAGTTACAAGTGCAAAAGTTGCATATTTCAGTGGAAATGATGTTATGTCGCTGTCACAAATAGAGTCGCAATATATCAGCACGTTGAAACAGCAAATCTGCTTTCTCGAAATGGAGAACACCTATTTGTAAGTAAAGTTGTGCGCAATAGTTTCTTCCGGATGCTAATGAAATTCTACAGAAAAAGCAAGCTAAAGATGCAAAAATCAAAGGCCAAATTCAAGTACTCAGAAGACTGTCAAGAAATTGCAGATTCAAGGAAAAAACAAGTAATATTGCACAATGTAACCTATATGCCGTATGTCGATGAATTTTCGTTTTTGGAAAAAAAATTTGCCATTAGTTTTGTGAAAGTATCTACGAATTCTTTGCTGATCTGTGGGCTGATGGCTTTTACCGCTCATATCGCCCAATTTAACCAAATCTTTACCTCCTCTGAAGCTGCGGAAGCTCGTCGTTTGAGCGTTGAATATTCAACCAATCTGACGTGTATTGCTTTATAAACTTCCTGCCGAGTTTTTAAAAAGCGGATTTCTGGTGCGAAAGTTGCATTGACGTTTTGTGTAAAAGTAATGAACCTACTTTGATGTTTTTTAATGTTGCCGGAAACGTAAGCAGCGTCCAGAGCTCTGCATCAAACGCAAAAGCGGCTATACTCATACAGGAAAATGCTGAACTCGAAAGGCAAATAGCTCATCTCGAAGGTGGTGAATATGCAGATCGACCGAACATACTACTTTTCTAGTTTTCTAGAACTACAGGTTGAAACTAGAAAAAGTTTAACAGAGGAAGTAGTCGAACTCAAAAAGAAGTTAAACGAACTTATTCCCGAGCAGTCACGAAAGGAGCTGGAGCTGAAGCGGCTGGAAGAGGAATGTTGCGACCTGAAGAAACAGTTAAGCGAATCGCTGGAGGAAACCGCCACGCTGCAAAATCAGGTGCGTTGAGAGGTGTACTAAAACACTCAGCGGAACAATTCAGATGAAAGAGAAGATGAACGAAGAGTCTTCTTTGAAAAGTCTAGAATTAGACAGGCAAGCGGAAGTTGACCGTCTTTTGTCGGACATTACCAAACTGGAGGCACAACTGACCGAAGAGAGAAACAGGTGGCGAAACCTTCAGGTACGTGTGCCTTCAATTTGATTAGCTGCTTTCACACATAAAGTCTTTTGCATTTCAAAGGAATGTAATGATCAATTATCAGTTTTTACAGAATATGGTATGGAACACTATATAGTACAGAGCTGCATGATATAGCGTGTAAGAATTAGAACGAGAAATGGAACTTCCAAGACATGATCGCTCAAACATAGACTGTTTTGCTGTGTTATCAGTTTTGCTCTTAGGCATCTAGAGGGACAGTCATGCTTGCTTTCTGATACTCATGCAGAGGCTGAAATGCTATAGCGACATGACGCTGTAACTTCTGAAATTATCACCTTGAGCTATTTGCATAGGCAAAAACGTCTTTGGTTACTGCAAGTTGGAAGAACAGTGCCTTCCGAAAGCATAACTGCTTATTTCTCGTTCCTCCATGTTGTTTGCTGGCTTCTTGATCATAGCTCGCCGTGCTATGACTCTGATGAGAGAAGCTCTCGAACTAGAGTAAATGTCTTATGCTCACCAGATGGGCGAACAGGTCCCAACACATTTTTCTAGTCTGAACGTCGACCGAAGCAACCTCGGACAAGAAGAGAATTCAGTCATTGACAACTTTACTGTAACCAGTTCAACTGCCGTTCTTGATTCTTCTTTAAAACAACTGTCTTCATGTCGTACGACCAAAGTGACTTGACAGAGCACGTGAATTTTCATGGAAAGGGGTTCTCAGCCAAAATACTGTACAGGGACCACTCGTAGTTCATCTGCACTACATCTAATCTCATAACTTATGATTCCCACGCGTTGTGAAAGCGACTGGTTTTCACAGCTGTTTTGCACAGAGCATCACTTGGCATGGTTTTTTGTGTACATCTGTTCTAAAATGCAAATGATGTCTTCAGAAATTGGTGCGTTTTAAGATTTTCCGAGTTGTCGGACAATCTTATAATGGCATTCACACTGATCTTAGGCAGACTGAAAATTTGATTTGTACAAGAGTACCCATCCGGAAGCCTTCCTCGTTTGGACGAAGTTTGCAATCAACGTTTGTCTCAGCTCTCAAAAGTAATTAAAGAAGCGATTTCCCGGGATTTGGCTGTAGCGTGATATCACAATAGTTGAAGCACTCCATCTTCTGTCTTCCTTTAAATATAGGGACAATTACTCCACACTTTAATTCTTCTAGGAAATGTTTCAAAGTGAACGTTTGGTGAGGTGGAGTATAGATCTTGCTACTGTGCCCGTTCCTATGCATTTAATTAACTGCGGGAAAGTTAGATCTTCCCACATACCTTCTTCACTTGAGAGAT